AATGGAGACACGCCTCATGACGGAGGACACGGCGGTGGGGGCCATGGGGACTGTGAAGAATTGCAGCGAACTGGCAGGTCAGTAACACTTCTCAGCATGATGGAGCTGGTGAGATCCATCCACAGTGGCAATGTTTACCTTTCAGAAAAGTTTCATCGTTTCATCTATGCACCCCAGAATACTGTTTGAATTTACACAGGTTGAGCTGTGACCCCCCCCAGAATACCCAGAAAATGTGGTTTTGAGTGCCCAATTTGAGACTGAATGGTTTTGAAATCCAGCCCTGACAAATTACAAAGCATCTTAAATAAGGCACTCAAAAATGAAAGAAGGTACTTGCTGGCTATTGAGAGTCGGTGTGCCTGTGAAGTTAGACAAAGCCGTGAGGGATGGAAATGTGGCAGGTACAGCTCCATTTTGCATTCAGATTGCTGGAAGTGCTTTAGCCAGAAGCAGTGAAGTCGTCTTTTCCAGACATTCCTGTTACAGTGCAATTGAATAGATGAAGGCTTTTATAGGATAGAAATACATAAGGTAACAGAGCCTGAGGCCTTCCTCTCTGCTTTATTGCTCTGTTTCTATGCCACATAAAAGTCCACTGGAGTGGGAATGCAGGTGGCTGTAAAACAGCACACTCAGCACTTCAGGGGCAATTTATTGTGTTGCTATTGTGACCTCCCTCCCATGCTATATTTTTTGAGGTTTTAGCAGAATATCTAAATTCTAGTGGAAAAATCTGAAAGCCTGAATTTATACAGTAGTGCATACAAGGCAATTAATAAGTCCTCGTTCTGGGTCAGAATGTAATAGGTGCTTACCCACCCCGTAGCTCTGCGTAGTGTCTGACCAGTCCTGCAGCGATGCTGGTGTGGGGTTTTCTGGTCGGTGTATAGCCCAGGAGACAGCTGAATTGTGGTGTGTCAAACACCTGTGAGTTGTTTATGTCAAACACCTGTGAGTTAGTGTTGGTGGTGAACTGTATGCAAGGGAACAAGAGGCAAAACAAAAACAATTTTCATTTTAGTAGAATCAGAGCTATATGGAGTTCCTAAGAGTTAAATACTGTTTTGCCTAGATTGTAAAATAAATAAATAAATAATAATAATAAAAAAAAATGTCTGGAAGTGCAGCTCTTTTGCTGTCCAAGATGATTTCACTTAGTTGCATTTTTACTCCCAGTTCTTTTTCTGGTTAATAGGTTGAAGCATTTTTTCCATTTAGCAGATTGTTTGGCTCACCCAACCATTGTGTCTGCCATGTGGAGAAATTTAGGCAAGGGTTTAGACTAGAGTTAATATATTTTATTACATCAACCAATATAATTGTAAAAAAACAGACCAGCTTCCTGAACTGCAAACTTTTGTGGTCTGTTTAAGCATGAGTACAACTTGTGTTTCTGAAATTTGTCTATCCAGCAGCATCACGTGGTCAAGATGCTATCTTTCTTTAAAACCTTATCTCAGTGATATCCCTGGATCATCGCCACTGTGATAAGACTTATGTAACATGATGACCTCACTCCTTTCAGATCATCCTTCACTTCTGGCAGTGCTTCTCATTGCTTATCTTAGTGACTTTCACCATAAAACATTTTACACAAGTCTCCTCTTGCTTGTCTTTTCAGGTTCTGTGGTGGCTTAATCAAAGACATAAAGAGGAAAGCACCGTTCTTCGCCAGTGACTTCTATGATGCTTTAAATATCCAATCCCTTTCAGCCATTCTTTTCATTTACCTGGCCACAGTGACCAATGCTATCACTTTTGGAGGACTGCTTGGTGATGCTACAGAAAACATGCAGGTTAGCAGCAGCTATCAGAAGCAACAAATCAGAGCTGACTTGTCATACTATCTACGGTCAGAACTGACTTCTGGGTACAATTAACAGAGGTATCACGTTCTTCCACTGAAAGCTGGCTTTCGTTCTCTGCTGTTGGATGTCTGTCCTTTGAAAAATTGTACAAAGTTACCTTAAATGGTGTTTGAAAGGTGGCCAAGCAACAGAGAATTTAGCATCCTTGCTCCTTCTATATAGAGAAGTTCTTTGGATCTACTCTCTGTGTTTTGTCTTGGTTGTACTGTTTCAGTCAAATTAAGTTTACTAAGTCTGATTCAGACTTTCCATGTCATCAGAGCATAGCGCCGTATTCTCTGCATGATTCTTGCAATCTCTGGACTTCTGCCTCTCTGGTAGAAAGGAAATACTAAGATTCATAGGAAAGCAGTGAATTAGGTGATGTGGTAGCAGAAAAAAATGCAAGTTCTTAAGAAATACAAATTCTGTGATAATGGAAAATCAGATTCTGGGAAGCATATTGCATATCTGGAGACCAAATGGATCAGTGCTAAAGACAAAGGTAGGGGCTTCAAGGCATGGCTCAGTTTTACATGAACTCTAAAGGAAGGGATTTAGTTTTAGCACTGCTCTAGATTGTGTTTGACAGAGCAGAATTATGCTCTGAGAGAGTGCTTTAGTAGTTCCTTTTTTTTTTTTTTTTATGAGGAAGAAAATGTAAGAGCTTTTATTTAGACAGTTCAATGCAGCCGTGTTTGAATGTCCTAACAATAATCAAGCTTGTAGCAAGTGACTGAATTATTCATTTATGCAAATTTAATTTAAACAAACATAGAAAAGGGGGCATCTATCCAGACCTCTCAACTTCCTTATCATAAATTACTGGCTAGAGGAAGAGTCAGTGGCTGGCGGAGTGCCAAACATCCTCTCCCCATACAAATACGGTTTTCCACTTCCAAAACTCAGCTACTCAGCAGTTGTGCGAACAGATGCATGATGCACGCCCTTAAAAAGAGATAATAGCACATGGAAGTAGAGAATGAAAAAGCCTCCAGGACCCACCATAGATGATCACTCTTCTGTCATAGAGCAGCAGGGGAATGTCTGCCTGCTCTGTAGCTGTACATGGTACAATATTTAAAATAGGGAGAGGAAGGGGAAATGCTACCTGATTCAAATTTAGTGCACATAATCTTGTACTTGTGCCAAAAAAGTCCTTCTTGATCCCTTTGTATCCAGTAAATGTCTACTGTCAAGTTGGAAAATATTTTTGTCACTGGAACGGACAGTATAGGTTCTTAGTGCTCACAGACAAAAAACAACCCTCAAGAAATTATTATTAAAAAAGCACTCTTTGTTTCAAGAACTTGGAAATGTGTCATTCATCTTACAAATGGTAAAACCACTTTCCTTGGGAGAATTTCTGCTACCAGGGTCCACATTAGAAAACGGGGAAGGAAAGCAGAGATAAAACAAGGTAGGCCTCCAGGAGAAGAGCTGGCAGTCCCTGGGTTCTGGGAGGACCCCTCTGCTGTCTTCTACTTGCCAGGGATTGATGCATAAAGGTTTTTTGCTTACACGTCTCTTCTGCTGGGGTGAAGTTCTTCCAAGAACCTCATAAACCTTCTCGATGTGATTATATCTTGAGTATGTGACCTTCCTCTGATTTATTCTGGCAGTCAATCTGTTGAACATGAAAGTCTCATTTCACCAAAATATTATTGAGACTGAGCTGTATAAGAGGGGAGACGCAATGTGGGAGAAAGGTGAAAGAGAAAACACTGCATTTGGTTCATAGTTTTCCTCTGCAGTAGATAAAACCCAGCATGAATTTCCCTACTGCTCAGAGAGGAAAAAAAAAAAAAAAGAAGAAGAAAAAAAAATAGCAGGTCCCTAGAAAGACAAAAGCTGCAGGAACAGCCTGTTTTGAGCTCAGTGATTTATTCTCCATGGTGAAAAGGGAAACCATTGATGCTTTGCATTTAAAAATATCACTTTGGTAACAGGGAAGTTCTGGAGCAAATATAAACACAGCGTAGCCGTTTATGACAAAAATTCCAGGAGAAGCAGAAAGAAAACACAGAAGTCCTGCTGAATGTTTTGTCCCTTGCTTCTCAGATGTGTGTTCTCAGTGAGGAGGGATTAGCCTCTCAGATATTTCTCTCCAGGCGTAGCAGCTTGCAGAGCTAAAATTGGCCTGTTCATACATTTTGGGGCCTTGTTTAATTCAGTCTTTCTAAAATTTCTCTGCTGAACCTGTTCCTCATAGTTGCAGATATGTTGAAAGCTTTCACAGACTCACAGCAATCCTATGTAAGTGATTTGAAATTGTTCAGAGAAACTGGGGGTATTTCATTTTGCTGATGGTCCAAGGTTTAGAGGGTCCGGGCACAACTGGCTTTTCTTTGGCCATCTCCATTCAACAAGCCTTTATTCACCACCCTTGTTTGAAAAGGAGTTGAGTTTCCTTGGCTGCTGTGGGAGTCTGGAAAGGTCTTTGGCTGCTGGTTTTAAGCAGAAGAGTAAAATTGTGTGTTCTTTATGCTCAAATGCTCCTGTAATGTCAATCTGAGTGAAATGTCCCAAGCTACCCAGTTAAAGTTGCTCCTCCAGGGAGCTGTTCACTGGGATCAGAGTCCGGGTTCATATCAAGTGTTCTTCAAACCATTTTGTATTTCTGCAGTGGAATGAAGTTAGTTCAGAAGTGTGCTTTTCTGCAAGGCATCCAACAGAGTGAGCTGCACTGAATCTTCACAGCCAAAAATGCAAGGCAGGGAAAGTAATGCAGGGGCAAGACCTGGCCCTCACAGGAGGCTCCAGTGTTGTGAAGAGACAAAGAGAGAGCTCTTTGTCACAGGCCATCTTCCCCAGGATGTTTTCACATTGGCAGAGCTTCACTGACTACTAGTTTACATCAGCTTCTACGTCTGAGCAGCAGCCTGTAAAAATTTTCCTCTCAAACATTTTGTCTTTATAGAACACAGTAATTTTGAGACTGCCACATTTGTGCTTCTTGTTTCTTATAAACAATTATGTGACCACCCCTGGATCAGGGCGCTCCAATTGCCTGGGCCATGCTGTCTGTCCTGGAGAGCCTGACATGGCCAACGTTTCTTTAAAAGCTCACTTCAGAGTTTTATGTTTCTGAGAAAAGACACTATTCTTAGCTGCAGACATGTGGAAGAATGCAGGGGAAAAGAGATTCCAGATGCACTGGCCGTGAGGGCCCTCTGTGAGTAATGCAGAAGGAGCGAAGGGGGATCAGCTGCACGAATGCCATTCCTTTTGCTGAGAGCAATTGTCTCATCCTCACAAGTCCCCCAAAGGCAACAAGCAAATGCTTGTAGGCTCTCGTCTCTATCCCCTGTAAAAAAAAAAAAAAAAAAAGTGCAATCTTTGTACGGTAGTACAGCAAGCAGATCTCCCTTGCTCTGACCCCTGCAAGGACATGGCTGTTATGATGGGCTTTACCAATAGCAGTTAGGAATGGAAAAGACCAAGAATGGCACCTCCTGCCAAGGCAAGGTTGTTTGCATCCACTGCTCACATCGGTAGTTTTCTTAGATTGACAGGTGACTGAACACGTGGCAGAAACCAGACTGCTTTTAAATTTTCCTGCCTATTTGCTTCTCTGCACAGCTGCCTTACTGGTGCTTTCATTAGCCTGCAATAGCAGTTACCTGGTTGCTGATATTTTGAGATCAGGTATGTGGCCAGAAAAATACTTCCTGATGGCTTCATAGAAAGTTCTGCTAGTAATTCAGTAGATAAAATTTTTCTGCTCTACATAGTGACATCCTGGTTTGACATGTGGATGGTATGAATATACTTTTCACACTGTAAACAGAAAGTTGGGTCTTTCCAAGAAATAGAGCCACAAAACTTAAATTCTTTGCGTTACCACTGATAAGTCAGAAAAACTGCAGCCCCAACCCTGCAGTCTGTCATGGATGGAGAGAAGGATCAGCAATCTTTAATTGCTGGCTGCGTAGCACGTGCAGAATTCAGGCTGCTGATTCAGACACAACCAGCAGTGAGGCATTTAAGTCTATGCTGAAATCTGCCCCTGGTTGTTGGGTAACTGCTCTCAGTAAGAGTGACAAACACAGCCTAAATATAGAGTCTAGGTTCAGTTTTCAGTTGAAGAGCGCTTAACGCTAGCGCTTAAACTGCTAGATGTATCTTGCAGATTAGTTTGCAGAAGAGCAAATGAGGTTAGGTCCATCTATTTTTGCCTTTTTTGTTAAATGATGGATGCTCTGTCAATAATCATGTTACTGGCAAGAAAATACGACATTTATATTGCACCCGCAGCTTGCATTTTAAAAATAGATATTGCCCAGCTATAGTTTAGATGAAAATCCAAGAACACATCAAGCACACTCATTTATCATTCCCCAGTGAAGCTGTTTTGCCACACGTGCCAAAGGTAATTGCAGAGTCCATTATACATGGAATTTATTACTTGCTGGTGACATCTGATGAACTTGGGTCTCAACACATGACTGCTGGATGAAGTAGCCTTGTTTGGTTCGTGTCTCACTTACTAGAAAAACTATTTGAAAGAGAGGCATCTTGTTCATTTAGGTGTATCTGTTCTTTTGGAGGAAGGAAATAAAAAGCCCTCTGATGTTCTGGAGGGCACCAGCACTGCTCTTTAGCCATGCTCTGCCCTGTCTGAGCCATGTGTGCCTTTACTGTCAAAGATGTGGGAGATCTTCAGTGAGTTCTCATATCCTTTTAAGTCCTCTTTGAAAACACATTATTTCCTTTATCAAAGATAAAATATAGCGTTATTAAACTCCAGGCCTCAGAAATAACTATGGGGGTTGGTGGTTATCCTGGGTAAGTGTGAACTGTCGAGATGAATGCCTTTTTGTGTGGCTGCAGGAGAGGACTGAAGATGGTCTTCCCTTAGTCTCGGACATAGCAGCATATAGCACACTGCAAGTCACTGCTGGAACGACTGATTTTCTTGCAGCAGTGCTAACAGAAAGGGTTATTCAGTAGAACTAACATCTCCACTATGTCTACCACAGGGTGTGTTGGAGAGCTTTCTGGGCACAGCAGTCACCGGAGCGATATTTTGCCTTTTTGCTGGTCAGCCGCTCACAATTTTGAGCAGCACGGGACCTGTCCTTGTCTTTGAACGGCTTCTCTTTAACTTCAGCAAGTAAGTGAAAGGGTGAAGGGTGGGCGGGAGGAGGGGAGTAATGTCTCACACTAATAAAATACTAGTTAGGGAACAAGATGGCTTGTGGTGGGGAAGGAGGGGGGTTAGTGCATGAAGTGAAACATCGCTTTTTTCCTTGTTGAGACTGCACTGCTGTCATCTCTGAGATTTTCACAGTCACTGTGTACCACTGAGCACTGCCAAGTGAGAGCAAAGAAAGCAATTCCAGCCCTCACGGATTTCCCTAACAGGATCCCTGAGGTCACCAGGTTACCAAAAACTTGTCCTTAAATTAGTATTCATTTGAAGTAATTGCTATAACTAATAAAAGTACCTATGATATAAACAGCTACACAACTCTGTACCCAGAATTCCTAGGTGGAGTTGTGCTGCATTAAATGCTTCTGTTTGTTTTTTTTGTCTTTTAACTAGCATAAAGCAGTTCTGCTCCCTCCTAACAGCATTAGCACATATGCTGTGCTAAGGGGAAGCCTGTTCTATTAGGTGTTCTCATTTGTTATTTCCGTATCTGCAATGCTGGGAAAATATAATGAGTATCCCTAACGGCATCAGCATATTCATTGGTAACTTTACTTGTAGGACTACTGATATTGTGGAGGGTGTTTAGAAAATAGATAACGTTGGGTTATACAGAAAATACTCCAGATCTCATGGCCCACTTTTCACCCATCAGGGAGAGTTCACAACACCACAAATACTTATATTGCAGGACAAAAAATCAAAGGCTTTTGGATTGGTGTTGCTGAGCTTTCTTTCAAAAGCAGTCACCCATTATGTGGAACAGATCTTTTGCCAATTGTAGTTATTTTTAGAAAATGGCTATTGAATTACTAAGATAAACATGGCTGCAGGTTGCAATAAGGCAGGAGGTATACTACAGGACTGGCTCTTTAATCTCCTTCTTCATTACATGTGGGCTATGTGGGTACTTATTCAGAAATAATTGAGCAGATGCAATATGACTGTGCTTTTCCTATGAAAGCCCTACACATCAGAAAAGTCTTCTGAGGTACAGAGCTTCTGGAAAGCAGACAGTATTTTTACACATGATGCCACTTCATCTGGTTCCTAAACTCCATTGATAATGCCTGTGGCAGCATAAGCTGTGTCTGCAAATGTCCTACAACTCGGGGTGCAATGGGCACGGTCTGATTCTTGTGCCACACTGTCAAAGCTATTTTAATCAGTATTATTGGGTTTGAAGAGCCAATTCTGGCTTCATTAGAGCCATATTTATACCAACACAGGCAGAGGTTCATCTTGGAGTCAAGGATGCCAGGGAGAGACTTCTTGTACCTTAAAACAGTGTGCTGTCTCCTCCTGCCTGGCTCTGGGACTGCCGTTGTCCTTGGCACTGTCTGCACAATCATGTCCTGTTTGTGTCTGCTTTGCAGGTCTGCCCAGGTGCTGCACCTGGAAGAAAAAAAAAAAAAAGCAAGATGGAAAAAAACTTCCTGTGGCTTTGGGAGGGAGGAGGTGGTTATTTTTAACTAGAGGAGGAGGTGGTGGTTATAAAAGCTATTGTCCTAACAACCTGCTGGAGCAGAAGGGCAGGATTTTTTGAGGGACTCTTTCTCAAGGAAATTTTCACAAGGAAATTGGAATCAAGTACTGTGATTTTCAATAATGCATTTGTGGTTGTTCATATTCACAACACCCTGTTTCCTGCTGGGAGCAAAATGAGAAAGTTCTCCCATCTACTGATTCATTTAAAGAGTGTGTGTACAGATACCTAAGAAAGCCTCTGTTGAATGACAGCAAGCATTCCCAAAAGCAATTCAGAATACATCACGATCAGGTCTTCATTACTAGCACAGTGCAGTTCTGTATTGTCCTGTTCTGCAGATCCCATCCTATTTCTCTGCTCTCCTCCCCCCATTTGGTAAATCAAACATTAAAACTCTGCTGTGAAGAATTTGGTTGGCAATATATAATAAAACACTTATATTTGAATTTAAACTCAATTTGCTGCTGATTAAATTAAAGAACTGAGGACTTAGGTTACTTTAGGTTATGAAATGTCCTGTGCATTTTCATTTGCTTTATAAGTTTCAGAACCGCTGTGGAAGTTTGAGGGGTAAAAACAAAATAGTTCAAAACTTTCAAGCTTCTTGAATTGGGTGCAGGACAATATCTGGGCTTCTGCCACCCATCTTCTTCACACTTGTCAGATGGACAATGGTTACTTCTCTCTAAGACACCGAGTCTGGATATTTCAGAGAGCTGTCACTGGGATCTTTTTTTTCCTTTCTCTTTTTCTAAATCATCACTCTATTTCTTGCTTGCTCCTTACTCCTCTTTCCAGGTCAGGCTCTGTGTGAGAAGGCTGCAGCCCTCTCTAAGCTTTTTGTCTACAGTAAGGAGAAAACATTGCAGAGACTTGTTTTGAATGCAGATGCCTGACACTGTCTTAGCCTACATGACATCAACCCAGGATCCTCACAGAAATGCGCAGTAGCAAGTCTTTACCTGGGATCTTGCCTAGTCTTCAGCATTTTCTCCAATTTTACAGTTACGAGGTTGTAGTTTCCCCTGTTTAGGTGCAGTTCCCTCTGTTCAGGTACGCTTGTTCTCCACTCTGCAGTTTTATACCATTCAGTAGAAAATTGTCCTCAAGCCCCTCTGTCTGCCAGCATTTCTGCTGGGGATGGGGTAGGTGCTGGGTGAATCCCAAAGCCCGGTACCAAACTGCTGCAAGGTTCAGTGCCCGTGGCTGAGTGCTGACAAAGGGTAGAGGTGTGTAAACAGCACACCGAGTCAGACCACGTCTACTTGGGTCTCTCCGACTCCTGGAAATAGTGTGTAAAAGCACACACGTGGGCCATGTAAGGTTACTTTCCACTATTACTACAAGTTTGAGGGAGTCCATCTGCAGTTTGCACTTGAATATACAGTAGAAGCAGCTTGTTGCCTGTTCTGAAGGCATCCTGTTTGCCAGGTTGCAGCTGCTCTGCCAGCTGTTTTGCCACTGAGCTAAAACCACCCTTGGTGCTAGGAGCTAAGCCACCCCTGAGGCACTCTCAATCCTCGGGAGGAGCTGATGCTGACCAGCGCCTTCCCTCCCAGTGCAAACAGGCCTTGGAAGGGTTTGTCTTCAGGGCCATCTAGCAATTCCCTTCTCTCTCATGCCTTTGAGAGTGGTTTGAAGTTGCGTTTATGCTGTTATGTTTCAGAGCTGTGGGTGGTTATCTGGTGCAGCCTGCATTCCTAAGGTGTTTTGAAGTGGGCTTTTGCTCCTTTGATTTATTTATTTTTAAGAGAGAAGTGCTCAGGTTGTTGGGGGAAAGAAAGGATAAACTCCTGGGCTCTGTCTCCTCTCCACAGCTTTTCAGTACTGTCAGAGACTTTGCTCTGAGGCTTTCCACAGAAACTGTCTTCCCCCCCTTCCTTTGCACACGGCGGTCTGGCAGGGCAGGGCAGGGCTACCTGGCTTCCATGGAAAAGCAGCCGGCTGTTATGGCTGGGGCTTGGCCCTGCTTCCTCCAGCTCCTTTCCCCAGAATGGTCAGTAATCTCCTTGGCCCGGCCTTACCTTCTTTGCTGTTTGATTTTCTTATTTCTTCGGGCTTAAAAGCCTCCCTTTGGACTTGCTGCTGTTAGGGTATGGCAGTCTGGAGCAGCAAACAAGGGGCAAACAAACTTCCCAGGAAGGAATGATAGGGTTCAGCCCATCACCCCCAGCAGCCTGCCACATCCTGGCACCAAGGGCTGGTCATTTTCTGCTCTGTGGTTCTTTATGTGCTGCTGGTACTTCCCTGAGATAATGTAAGAGCATGAGACGTGGAAATGCAGGCTCCTGAGTGGGAGGCTTGGCAGGAAATTGCTTTTCTAAAGGAGGTTTGTAAACTGTGGTTACATCTTCATCTGGTGGAAGGCTGTCTGAGTTCAGCTGCTCTTGGGCTGTGCAGCTGGATAGTTGGGCCTTTACAACTCTGTGTCTTTGCCAAGGGAGGATTTGTCCTGGGAAGCCTAGGAAGAGCTTGAATTCATTGGTAACATTTAACAGTGGAGGTGGAAGCAAGAATGATCACTTGTGCAAGCTTTTCTGCTACCTCAGCTATTAAATTGCACTAGGTACTTGTGCGGAGTTGACTGGCTGAAAACAGAGCTTAGCTCTTGGGAACACTTTTGTTTAGTCTAAATATGGCCAGGTCCCAGAGTCCACGCATTCTTCTTCCACTTCTCACTAGAAAGTGCAATTCTGTATGAATTTATCTAATCCTTGATATTTTCCTTTCCTGCTTCCACTGTTTTGTTGCAGAGACAATGATTTTGACTACCTGGAGTTTCGTCTCTGGATTGGCCTTTGGTCAGCCTTCCAGTGTCTCATTCTTGTTGCTACTGATGCCAGCTTCCTGGTCAAGTACTTCACACGCTTCACCGAAGAAGGCTTCTCCTCCCTTATTAGCTTCATCTTCATTTACGATGCTTTCAAGAAGATGATCAAGCTGGCAGATTATTACCCAATCAACTCGGAGTTCAAGGTGGATTATATCACACATTTCTCTTGTGCCTGTGAACCACTGGGTCCAGGTAAGAGAATGTTTTATTGGCTCTCCAATTTGCAGACAGAACATCTCATTTGTGTTGTTTTGTGTTGTTTTTAAATTGTGCCGTGGCCCAGATAATAATGTGGTAGATTAATTCTTTATCAGTTTTCTTCAGGTAGCCCATCTTTGCTTTATTTTCAAGCTGAGGGATGTATTTCACCCTAAGTGCCAACTGGAATTTTTTTCTAGCCAACCTTTCTGGCATTCCTCATGTGAACGCTGTTAAGAGCAGAGAAGCTCTCTCTGTACCTGTGTCTCCTCACATCCTTGTGGCCATTAATTCTGAGCAGCATCCCTCTGAGAAGCCTGTGAAGGGTGAGAAGTGAAGGGTAGGTCACTGCCAGGGGTGCTTGGGTCACTCCTGATATCTACTGTACCATTTTGACAAGTGTAGGAGCTGGATTTATTCAGGGCGTTACCCAAACATGGGCGGTTTTGCACCTTTTGGCTGTGGATGAGTGGAAAAGCACAAACAATTCCTCATTAGAGTGGAAGGGAAATATATCCATCAGTTTAGCCTATCGCTAGAGCGTGGGCCGCAAGGCAAGCATAGCCAGAATACGTATAGATCTGGCAATACAACCGGGAACAAAAGGTTACAAAACCCAAATACAAACAGAAGCATGCTGGCTGTTACTGCTAGGGAAGTTGTAACCAGTCCTAGGATTCTTCAAACAATGAGGACTGAGTAAGAAACTTGGTTTGTACTCAAAGTAAACTTCAGGTTATCTTGGCATACCTGCCAAACAGGAAAAGCATCTGGCTGCTGCTAGCTGCCTCTTTGCAGGAGGTGTGAGGAACTGGATCCATATAAACCGTGTGCTTACATAGTTATTAAATGCACAGTCACTGCAAGCACTCAATGCTAAGTCTGATTCTGCTTTCATCTGAATGGCAGGGCGCTTTCTCTCTTGGTGGCTGAATGGGTCAGCCGATTGTGTCTCTCCTGAACCATGCAATGCTGCAACAAATGTCTCAGTTTCCCAAATGAGTGCCCAGGGCACAGACCCACAGCATAGGGCAAATGTAGCGGTACAGCTCCAACGTGAAGAGGAAACAGAGCATGTGGCAGAAATCCACAGTTGTTGTTTCATTTTGTAACAGATTTGTGCCCAGAAATGCAATCTTGATCCTTACCTTCTAAGCAAGTGGTGGGAGGATTAGCGTATGTTGTTTGATAACAGCACATTACCACAGCCCCTTACTGCCATCATGCTCTTTTTGTCTTTTTTGCCTCCTAGCCAGATGTTTGTTTCAGAGGGTAAAGATGACTTGAAATCAAGCAATTCCCATAGCTTTGCGTGATGTGTCTGTGTAGTCAGAGCAGAGGTTTCACACAGTGGAAGTCTGGCTTCACTGGGTGCTTGTGCATGCATATGCACACATGCACCCTTACATCTGTGTGCGAGGTCCCAGCTCTTAGTGCCAACCCCACCACGTCTCGCCCTGGGCAGGGCTGGGCCAGTAGTTGAGCACGATGAACTTAGGTCTCCTGAAACAGGAGAGTTAAGGAGGGAGCAGTGCACCGCATGCTGGGCATGAGGCAGTGGATGGAGTTGAGCCCGCTGGCTGTATTATCTGGGACTTTATCAGGAGGGTGGAAGGAAGCTCATCTTCAAATGTTTCTTCCTTAGTTTTTCAAGTAACACTGAATAAATCTTGAATAGGAAGAGTGAGCACGTAATACTGGCCATACAGACAGCGATCTGTACATGTAGCCCTCCGGGCCATCTCTCCAGACACACCAACCACTCCTGCATAGACCTGTGCGAGTCTGTGGCACCTCAGGCATGAAGGCTTTAGCAGTATGAGTAATGTCTGAGTTTCAAAGGCTGCCAAAGTTGAGGGAGCAGATTGGAAACAA